ACCCGCAAGAACCGCGCACTCAAACATTGACTTAACCATAGGCACACAGCAGCAAAACATGCGACCCCAACACTGGGGGTCGCATGTCCTTTTCTTTGGCTCTATACAACCTCTTCCCACCTCCATTCTCCCTCACCCGTTGTTCAATCTCAGTGCAGGGGTCGCATGCCCCTTTATGTGTTATTGCTTCATCTCACTTTATTCTCCTTCACACCATTGATTACTCGATGTCTCATACTTCCTAGGTCACACAAATTCCTTTCTTCATATCCTTATGTTCTCCAAACTTTTTTCACCCGAGTCACTATAGTACGGCATATGCCGATAGGCATGGTTACGTACTTTAAAATGAATACATCCATCCATCCATCCATCCAATGGCCAAGGGAAATCCCTTGGAAATCAACAAATCCCCCAGCCAGCACCAAAACCCAGTGGGAAAGCTTGGCATGGGGTTTGGCAAAGGATAAAGTGAAGAGGAGTGAGGAAGTGTCTTGCCTGTGTGCATGGTCCATAGGAGTCTAAGCCCATTTCCATAACACTGGAAGTTTTCGCTATATTGTGGCCACTGGGAAGATGAGAAGTTAGCTTCCTTCTCATCTCTTAATTACCCACAATAGACAAATTGTACATACTGTTTTTGCCCTTTTTGCCCTTTGTTTATACTGCCTTTCTGATTTGCTCTGCACACACTTCAGGAAATCAATGGTCAAATCAGTGCATTGTATTTGTAAGGAGTGGTAACCCCACCCTTTACTTTCTTATCTTATTGTTCATCTGTCTTGCATTAAACATGTACAAACAATGTAATTCCAATAACGTGGAAATTTGGGAAAAGGCAACTAAGCTTTTTTCCTCCCCATCATTGAATAATCATAGCTCTATACAGCTTAATATTCGATGAACTGAGGACTGAGGCTAACTGGGGTTGGAACCTACACCAACCCCTTACAGTATTGAAGATATGAACTAGTGTCATGTAAGCGCTCAGTTCTAGATATGTGAACTATAGGATATATTGTAGTTACCTAGTGTCATGTAAGCACTGGTAACATATTTACACATTGTTAGCTATCTGTTAGAACTGGGTGAGGGTGGACGATTCCAGAGGGGAACCAGAGACTTAGCAAGGAGGGACCTTGGCCTCAGCGACTCATGCGGAGCGCTGTGCCATTGCTGTTTGTCCATTTGGTCCTTAATTTCAGAGGCAGCGAGCAGGAAGTCTCTAGGGGGTATTTCAGGTCGATTTTAGACTGAAGGTCCAAAATGAGTATGTACAAGCACCTGTATATAATAGGGAGACGATAGCACAAGGAAATCAAAGGGGGGTCCGAAACGGAACAAAGGTGTCCGAACAGAAACAAAGGGATGATAGAAGCGGAGCAGCACCAAAAGGTCATGGGTTAGAACCTGTGGTACATCTGAAAGGAGATAGGGAGGGCGAAGCCCAAAGGGGCAGGAGGATGAGGTGAAGTGGGGATGATGACTAACTGGCTAGAATGGAGAGAAGCAGCAGTCCAAATAAGGATGAGGGGAAAGTGCAAAAGATACATTACAATCAGCGAAAGTACCAAATATGATCCATGGAGCTTGGAGGTTGCAGAGGTTACGGAGGTTACGGAGGTGGGGTTGAAAGTCCAAGGAATGTTGGCAATGGTGTTTACATAGTATGAGGTCACCAATGCAATGGACTTAAGCTGAGGTTCAAAGTCCGAGGTCGGAACTATGACAGAATCTTGGAGCAAAGGTACAAGCGGTGTCCGAGTACAGGGTATGGGACAACGGTGGAAGGTCGTAACTTGGCAGAGGTTTGGCAGAAGAGGGTCAGAGGGAGGAGAGAGGAGAGAGGAGGGGGAGAGGAGTGGAGGAGAGGAAAGGTGTCAGGTCCGAAGGCGAGTATCAGAGTGGATGGAAGGGTAGGAGAGTGACGGAAGGGTGGAGGTGTCGTGAGGAGTAAGAGGAGAGTGGCAAGAGGAGTGATGTTTGGTCTGAGGTGAGTATTGGAGTGGACAGAGATAGGGTAGGAGAGTGATGGAAGTAGGGTGGGAGAAGGACGGAAGGGTGGAGGAGTAAGAGGGGGAGTGGTGTTGGGTCCGAAGGTGAATATTGGAATGGATGGCAGTAGGGTAAGACTCCAGAGGTGGTGAAGATGGGGGTCCGGGAGTCGGATCAGGATTGGGTATGTATGGATATGACACTATCACTACATTGTGCAGTTAGATCAAGAGTGTCTCACCTCAGTTCCAGATATGTGAACTGAGGGGAGAGAGAGAGAGAAATTTCGTCCTCATGGCTTTTAAGCCATCCATGACTGTGTCCATCAACATGGACTCCAAAAATGGAAGCATCAGGCAATCCTTCAAGGAAATGTCTGTGTGCAAGAAATATGGTCCAATGGACTCAATGGATGGTCCACAGCATACCAAGAAAAAAGAGATTTCAACACATTCATGTTGGAATTTGTACATGTGGTCTCAGGAACCTTAATGCATAAAATATGGACATTCTGGGAGTTGAACCACAGAGCCCTGCATAGGTACCTAGAGTGTGTTACCATTACACTAAATGCCTGCATTAGGCAGAGGTGGTTTCTAACACACCCCCTTCACATTGGATTGAGCCCATGATCCACATGTGACCCTAACCACCAGGCTTCCAACAGCCCATGAGCTGTCACCCCCAAATTCATATTCAGGCCGGACTTACTGCTAATCTCCTACATGTCCCCACATCATGTGGTCTGAAGCAGCTGGATTTGGGTCCTTAGTGCTCTGAGCCACCCCCTGAAACTTTTTCAGGCTGGCTAATTTAATGCTTGACTTCACATGCCCATCTCATGTGGCAGCAACTGGATTTGGGTGTTGCTCGGTGACTTATCCTGGATCTTCTGCCTCCCTCCACCCTATTCCTATACGACTCCTATGACCTCCACCAGCCCTCCCAATCTCTCTCTGCTGCCTCTGGTCGATGCCAATGGCCCTAGGACTACCTCCTCCTTCGACTCTCTCCTGCTCTGCCTCCCATCTACATCTGCATCACCTCCGGACCTCCACCACCATACCTCCACCTCCTCGGACCCCTTGTTCAAAGGAGATGGACCTGCTCGTTGTTGATAAACCTCAACTTGCCTATCCACCCTCCTTCCTACCTTCAGTCTCCACACCTCCAGTACCTCCCCATTCCTACCTTACCTCTGGTCTTGATAATCTTTATTGTTTTATCATTTGATATTTTCTACAACCCCAATCTTCTGGACTACAACTTCTGGGCTCCGGACCTTTCCGGATGTCTTTCTCTGTAGTCCCCTGCTTATTCATAGACGTTTCCAGACCTTGCCATTCAGTTGGCTTTTAATTCTCTCACTCCACAAACCTCAGACATAATTTGGGCTTTTTGCCTATTCCTTATTTGTCCTGTGGATTCTTTTCTATTTACTTCCCCTTCCCCTTGGTAACCTTTGTTTACCTTCAGATCCAATTGTTTCCACTATATGTACGTGCATACTGTCATGGCCGTGCATTCCAGCCCGTTAGCTGCCTGTCCCGATGCTGCCTGAGCCCATTCCCACTACATGAGCGTGAGCACGAGCCCTGACCTCAGCCCTATCCTCCCTGAGGACTCCCTGCTCACTCCCCCACTTGCTCCTAGGCTCCCCTGCACCTGGCCGACTCCCCCACAGCCACACCAACCTTCCCACCCTGAGTCCACCTCTGGCACCATGCCCAGCGCAACTCCTCTACCCTGCCCACTTGGCCCCTACAGGGCCGCTACCATTCCCATGCCCGACTCTGGCCCAACTCCAAGTCCAGTGCCGCTATGATACCATCACTGCTACCGTGGCCCTATGCTCCTTCCTTTATTTATCTGTTATTGTTTGTTTTGACCCTCAGTCATTGCTGGCCGCTGTGTGGCCAACCCCGCTCTTTGTTTCCTTTTGCTTCCGGACCCTTCGGCCTTCAGCCCGGGTCCCCTTCCATTCATTCTTTCTCCCTATATATATCCTGTATGTTACTTTATTGTACCTTAGCTCTCATATCAATTTGACCATGACCCTCTAAGTCCTGACCCCAACAAGGCAACCCCAGTAAGTCCAAAATGAGGGCCAAGAGACAGCTAGGGGGCACAGCGCTCCTTTAGAGTCGCTGAGGCCAAATGCCCTACCCTCGGGCCTTGTTTGCAGCATCATGGCCATCATGGCCTATAGCGGCCCACAATGGCGACCCTCAGTGGCGACCCCGGACCAGTGTCTAACACATACCCCTCTAGTAAATAGTTCCCCCAGTTATAATATAAACAGTCTTGAGTCCTCCAAACCCTCCTCCAGGATGTCTATCACGTCCCACTCGTCTGCTGCTCTACCCTAGAACTAAGAACTGAGTAACAGGCACATCTAGAGATGCCTTGGTATAAAACCCAAATGAATCGTGTGACAAACAATTGACCCTCGCTAATGCCTCCATTGTTAAGTAGTGAGGGGGGGCTTCTGGCCCCCTTCTGCTGGCAGCCTCCATTCCTCCATCGCCAGCTCCCCTGACAAATTGGGGACAATGGGAACATACCGGGTGCAGCACTCCATTCCAAGTCGCTGAAGCCGAGTCCCTTCAACACCCTGTCACCCTCAGAGCTCCGCCCCACCTCCAGTCTGTCTCTGACCCACCATTGGACAACCCGGAACACCAAGCTCCACCTGACAGCATTGCCTGGATAGCGATTAGACCTATCCAAGGAACGTCTTCTTGACAATTGCGGCTTATAGCAGCCTGCAACAGCGACCCTTGGTGCTGACCCCGGACCCATATCTAACACTTCCATAGAATGTCCACCATGTTGGAATTTGTACATGTGGTCTCAGGAACCTTAATGCATAAAATATGGACATCCTGGGAGTCAAACTGCAGAGCCCTGCATAGGTACCTAGAGTGTGTTACCTGTTGGAAGTCAAGCTTGAATCATGTATTTACGGTTATTTACATCATGTTAATAGACTTAATGGTCTACTTCCGTAATCTACCCTCGCTGGCGTAAGTTTTTCAACATTACCATTACACTAAATGCCCACATTAGGCAGAGGCAGTTTCTAACACATCGTCACACTTTGAGCTCGGCTGCAGTGTGGGCAAGGATGGGCGACACCTTGTCCCTGACCATCACCTTAAAGCCAGCGACATTGAACCTGGAATGGCTTATCAGTAGGGAGGGAGGCACAAAAGTGACCAGTCACGTGATTCAGGCCCTCATCGTGATCAGGTGATGAGTACGGTTCCTCTGATACAGGGACTGTCCTTTCTATGGCCACACACAATCCCCCCGCTACACATCTCCTGGACCGCATAACATCCCATGATTCGACTGGTTCGAATTCCACTTCCGTGTCCGCTGTATCTCGAAATGTCGCGATGGGGCTGGCGACTTTAGCTCAGCAGCACTTAGAATCTGACACTTTGCAAAAAAATGCACCGACAATGCAGATCAAACCAGATTCCGGTTCCTCCAACTCTGCAAGTGTCAACCCCTCCATTCGCCCCGTGATACTGACCAGTGCGCAGGACGGGAACAGGAATAAGCGCGTCGAGATAGTCGCTATCAGCGCGTCAAAGTGTATTCCCATCTCCTCTGAGAGTGAGGAGGGGCGTAGGGTTGTGCATAATGCCCGCCCTGCAGGCCCATCTCACGAAACACACAAACCACGAGGCTCCACTCTTACCCAGACCTCGGGAGCTACTCTATCTTCCGCCCTCTACCCTCTTTCAACGCTGTATGGCACGGGCACTGAGACTCCCTCTAGTCCATCTACAAGGACGTACAGTCCTGTTATCGAGGTCGATGAGACTGAGTCTGATGATGACACTGTCCAAAAGCCGACCCTGGATCCCGAAGATATGTCCTATAGACTAAAGCTTCTTATTCGAAACAACTACTACCTCCCTCCCGCCCATACCAAACCTGCACATATTGACACTCGGTTCGCCCAGGAACCTCAATCCTCGAAAAGAGGAGCTCCTGTCATCCGCAATCTTTTCCGCATTGGTGGGCCGAAGCGCATAAACACGAAGCTCTCACAACCATCCCCAGCGCATGTTCCGAATCGCCAGTTACGACTGGGCGCCCACGTTGATCATCTGGCGTTGCCATTAGCGCCCACAACTGAAATCGTCAGCGAGAACGAGCGCAAGGGTAGAGTTGTTGTGATCCGCGAGCGACTAAACGATTTGGATGGTTCTCGCCTACCTTTCGAGCCAACACGCCGCGCAGTTAACTCTCCGCTCCCCAAGCACGTTCTTATCGATCCCACAGACGCTATCGACTTGCCATCGTATGCATTTCCTTCCCAGGGAACGGGAGAACATGCCGATTCCCGGGCGATACTAGCCTCCACCATGGTCGATTTTATTCCACACAGTCACAACCTTGATCTTGGGCACTGGGCTGCTGATGAGGCTTGGAGGCGCGCTTTACTCACTGAAGCCGTAGATCTTAGTTTATCATCTATCCAAACAACATCAGATACCTGCCCCCAGAAGTTGACGTGTCTCCCAAAACTGTCGCATGCCGGGAGTGCGTCGGAAGACATTGGACGCCCCATTCTTCAACCAGAGCCTTCCGATATCAGAACTACTCTAATAGCTGACGCATGTGATGCCATCACCTACCACACTAGTCCACAGCATAAACCTCAGCGTGATTCCACACCCCTCAACCTTTTGTCTCACCCCCTGCCTCCCCCACCAAGAACCAAGTTGCGAGGTGAGAACCAATCCCCGGTAGCTGGCAAGCGTGTGAGGAGGGCAGCTTCTACCCCAATCCTACCCCAACTGGGAGGTGAAATTACTTTGTTTCCGCCAGACTTACAAGCCTCGCCCCAATGTGGTGGACCAGACCCTCTATTATCGTCATCGCTGACGCATGAGAGTCTGAGCACTGCCTCCCATTATTCCGATGAGGATCCTGACGCACCCCAAACTTCACGAAATTCCTCACAGTCCGTAAATGACGCAGCTACATTCTCAAATCGGCCTTCCATGTCCGTGTCCCAGCGATCTCATGAATCATCCGCCTTTGGGCGACCATCAACATCCCACGCAATATCGGAGGCACGAGGTCCCCCCGTGACCATCGCGCCACCAACGCAGCCAACCTCCGTCACGTCGAGCACGACTTCGCGACCCACATCCAAGGGCATATTGTATGGGCCACCTGAGCAAATTGAACCGCCAAAACAAGACGAGCACCCAATGCAGTCTACCACACCCCCACCGGATGCGCCGACCCCCCCATCTGATGTGATTCCACATCAGTTAGTTGCCTTTCCTCACGATAATTTAAGCACCTCGACAATTCTTGATTATCCCTCTGGATACGGGACACCCTACACCCATTTCACCCACTCATTTGACTCTCTGGACAGAAGTAAGCCAGTCACGAACACGCCCATCCATTCTAACCTGGGGCTCTTTTCTTCATTCATGCATACTCCTAAGCGATCACCGCGCATCCCAGAATCAACCTTTGAGCTATTGAAGAACGTTCAGGAAACAGCCGACAGTGACACCGAGAGGATCCCTCCTTCCATATCCTCAAAGTCCAGTAGTGTGCGTAGTGAAAGGGGCGACAGGGCTCTGAATGGGTTGTTAAAGCTTCACATCGAGGAAGAACGAGATAGATTACGCAAAATTGCAGACAGCATTCGTCAACAGTCATGACACCCCCTTAACAATCTACTATTTATTCTATCATTATACACTATCGTCCAAGGTGCTCCTTAACCCAAGCCCGTCGGGCATCCGTACCATCATAGTTTCGGGTCGTAAATTATTGATCCACGAACGCACGTATCCTTCATATCGTTCAGACTCTCCACCAAACCCTGGCAAAATGTGCCCGTGGATGCCACCGTGGAGGTTCGCTTTGACTCAATTCCGAACTTCAACATATTTTCCCCAGTGAGGTCTGAGATGAATGGATAGTCAGCCGTTGGTGTCCATCCAGTAATGGCGAGCTCCTACAATTTATTCCATAACCATCCTTCACAGCGGCACCGAACCTAAAAAACATGGGACTTAGCCACAGACCCTCTGCACCATTCAACGAGCCTCCACTAACCCTGTAGCCGTGAATCGGTCACCAGCACTAAGACCACTAGTTGATAGCTTCCAGTCCTGGCTCAAGCGAAACAGTTCATCATCAAAAAGGTCGCTACTTTCCCCAGGACGCATTTGAAGGCGCAATCCTAGTAAGTGGCGATCGATACCATGACCAGTTGCAGCCATACGTGTAACACGATGGTGGAATGCTAATGCAGACCGCAAGCGTTGATAGCGCTCGGGGTACTTAAAATGAAACGATGAGCCTTTCAGCGAAACGTGAATTCACTCCAAAAGCTCACAGGTGTCTCTGTGGTCATTGCGCATATGAACTTCGCCATTTCCGTGGTCAATGAACGAATCGTTTCCGTTCTGCCGTGCCGAAAAAGCCGCGTCGAAGCTGTTTCATACGTCGCCGTCAAGCTACCGTGCAACCTGAAGTAGGTTAGCTGCAGGGCGGCCTGGATGTAGGCATCGGGGGACAAAGATGCTGCAAGTACGTCTAAGTCCTGGAGACCGCTCTCATCACAAGTACCACAGACCTTCTCTGATCCATTTTGCGCCATAATCTTTGAACCAGAGCTCGCGAGCATCAGAACCACTGATAAGTGATTCAGCCCGTGTTTGTGCAGCACTGCACTGATCCAGAACACGTTGATCAACTTTCCAGTTTAATTGCTTCCAGCCTCCAGGCTCGTGCCGAGATGGATACCACGAGTCCGAGGCAAATTCGCCAATGTCGATGGGTGCTTCCAGAGCCCAATCTGTAATGGTGCTTGGAATCAGTGCATCGAGTGGCGAGTGCTCTCCCATCACTCCAAATCTAGTATTTGATTCCAGGATCAATGATAGGGATTTGTCAAACCACCTGTTGTTGCCGGACAACCCCGATGCGGTGTTTCTTATGTGTCCCGACACGTGAGATCCGTCCAGCACGCCCCCCATTGTTGGCTGAACAGGTGGAAGAGTGTGGTCATCTAAGCAGAGGGTGAATAATGAACTTTCTATACGCCCCATAGTGCCCCAATTTTGTTCATGGATAGAAATAAGATGTTCGCGATTCTGCGGATACCATTCCCAGTGTGATACCGGGCGGATAAACGGAGCTAACTTACCGTTGCCCAAAGATCCCGAGCATCTGCGGTTAATACTCCAACGAGTATGGGTGACTCCCCGTCTCGCTCCCGTCTCAGAACGTCATCCACAATCCCCAGAAGGCCAGCCTCAACTTCCCTTGCAGGTACCTGCCCACCAACCAAGTCGGTCACCTGGAGTTCGTACGACCAATCATGAAACATCACATGAATGTATGACGATCCAGGTTGGCATCCTGGCAGCACAACAGAGTCACAGCCTGGCTTCGGTATCCTCGTAGTACCGTATAAGCGAAGAGCAGACTCGCGAAACCAAACTCCTAAAATCAGGGGTTATGCCCCAATCATCGCACGAGCCAATTACCGCAAAGGTACCTGAATGAGCTCCCAAAGAAGGGATTTTATTCCTTTTCAATAGGTTCATTTCCTCATTATAGCCAACTGTGAGCGAGCATGACGTTCACGTACACCAGTAAAAAACCACGGTAATCCAGGAATCTCTTGACAAGCCAAGCAGCCCTCCGGATCTGCCATCGACGGCAAAGCTGAGTGTCAACAAGCGTGCCGTTGCGTATCTTTTCTGGGACAGTGAGATCGTTTTCGAGCGTAAGCCACCAATTTGAGTTGATCATAAGAGGTTCTCGGGATTCAAGATAGGCCACTCTCATCCAAATTGTATCATCCAACCAATTATTCGGAGACGCACGGTCCAAATCTAAGGTGGGAGACAGTATCAAGACAATCGCGATCTACACAACCTTTGGCTGTACATGCCTACTAGTCGCTGTTGAAGCCGTCGGCCAAGCCCACCAGGCATAAGAAACTCCTCCGCGTACTTCTGGCGTATCCTGCGCGCTTCATCTACACTTTCTCCAGAACGGGATGTGTGCGAAGGTAGAAGGGGTTCGATTGATTCGAGATATCGTTTTACAGTCATTTCCAGCTTAGGGATAGGAAGCCGTGGCAGCATTCTGGGGGAAGCCAGTGTCCGACAGAACGTTCGCATGGGAACTGGAGGTGGCTGTGATATTCAAACTCACGAATAACTCCAATTTAGTAATTAGGTCTAAATATGTTCGACATTATCATAATTTATGGCTCTCATTTACGTTGCACAAAAGAGAACAATGGTTCATGTGATGCCACAACCAAATCACTGCATTTCGCATCAATACAAGTCCATTCTATCCGAGGCACAACTCACCAAGAAGTAGTCTGGGACCCGGCGGGAAACGAGTGGTTCTCCAGCTCGAGGAGCAGGATCAAATTGCAAACTACAGCGACTGCTTAGCACCTTGCAGGCGCCAGAATACACAGCTCACAAAGTATAAGATAGCTTTTCATCAATTTCCATGATCGCAGCTTGATTTCCACAGCGGTAGCAATAGTTCGGTGCACTGAATATTGTTACGACGTTTCGATCCTGGCTCCAATTATATCCTTGTTTAATCAGTGGAGATGAGCACTGCACAAACCATGAACTAAGGAATCACCTTCCATGACTAATTGATGGGCTCGTGCAACTAGAGTAAGTCCATTGTTGTGATTGAACGCTTCAGAGATATCTTGTCCAAATGTGTAGCCGGCGCCACGTGGAGAAATCCCCCAGCCACAGCGATCATCGGGATCCGACCATAAAAGATCACACATGGGTCCCTCATGTGGCACCTCCTGAACGCGGTCGATCCCTCTCACATGGTCGAGCGTGTCAATTGAGGGCGACAATCCTCCGTGTAAACAAAAGATCTATGGCTCAAAGTCAAAATCATCACTGGACACTGAATTAAGACGCAGTGCACACCTGATTATCAATGAGAGCGGTGAGGGGAAGGTAATCGAACAAATCTGTGAAGAATCTCCACACATTCGCGTTTCCATACTTCCGAAGACATTCGTCATAGAAGCCATAAACTTGGGTAATTTGACGTGACTCGTGGTTCCCGCGTAAAATGGTGACTCGATCACGATATCGGAGCTTGAGAGTGACAAGTAAGGTGACAGTCTCCACTGAATAGTACCCTCGATCGACATAATCGCCCATAAAGAGATAGTTGGTGTCGGGAGAGTTTCCCCCAATCCTAAAGAGTTCTGATAGATCATGCTGGAGACCAGTGAGTTAGGGCGTGAATGGGACAACCGCAGCAGTGAGATCGCTCACGAACTGGCCGTGTATGTCACCACACACAGTTACCGGGCATCTAACAGGCTGGACGTTTGACTCTGCGATCAAAATCTCTCGTGTCTATACGCATGTAAGCGCGGGTGGCGAACGCTTGGATGGAAGATGTGACCTTGTCGCACAGTCTCTTGACATCGTTCTCTGAGAGCTGTTGACATTTTCCGAGTTGCTCAATCCAGCCATCTATCTCGTTGATGTCAGTCATCGATTGCACCTTGAGGATAAATGTGTGTGATGGACTGCTACAACTTCAATTATCAAGGAAATTGTGGATGCGAGTTTGAATTGGAAGGCGGCAACTCCCCGGGGTGGGAAATTTACACTGCTCTACAGCGTTCATTCCAAGGGGGTGGCGGAAATTCCCGGCTGAAAGGGGGTTCACGGGGGCCCGGACATGTAACTTCATGTACTTACATGCAAGGTCTAAAACAACATTGGGGTGACCAAGTGTTGGAATACGAGTCACATGATGAGACTGAACCGGAATATCCGGGAATATTCTAGGGGTTACTGGGCGCCTGCATAAGCGCTGGGCATAAAAGAGCCTGGAATGTTGTTGAGGAGTATAAATATGGGTGCTGGAGTGCTGTGTTTTAGTTATATTTCTTTCTATATTACATCTGGGTTGCGAGTGAACCGCTGAAGCAGGTTGCCAAATTTGGAACGCCGCGTTTACAACACCAAGTGGTCTGGCCAATGGAATTGACCAACTGATGCTTGCGGAGTGTCCCCTTCCTATTATCTCCCAACCCAACCCATTTAACAAGTCCAGAATTATTCCCACCTAGCCTCATCCCATCCCATTGAATGTGACTGATTAGATTTATATTTAACATTTCCCTAGTTATCAGTGTGATATTGATGTGTGTTGTTGGACACTGGTCCGGGATCGGCACCGAGGGTTGCTGTTGCGGGCCGCTATAGGCCGCAATGGCTGTGATGCCGTGAACAAGGCCTGAGGGTAGGGCATTTGGCCTCAGCAACTCTAAAGGAGCGCTGTGCCCCCTCCTGTCTCTTGGCCCTCATTTCAGACTCACTGGGGTTGCCTTGTTGGGGTTAGGACTTGGGAGGTCATGGTCAAAATCGATATTAGAGCTAAAGTACTATAATGTGGCATCAGCAAAAAATTGTTATGCTCCTGAGTGCTCCGGAGTATCGAGAGCACTGGGAGAATCAGGAGGAGATTCGCCGGTCCAGGAACAGCCCATTTCCTCCGGAGTTGGCTAGGTACTCCAGGGCACTCCCAGGAGGGCCTGGAGCATTGCTTTGTGCACAAACATACCCAGTAAATACAATTTAAATGCTTCAAAGTGTATAGGGGTGAGAAGCTTCTGGGAGCTCCTGGAGCATTTGAAAATGAAAAGGAAAAAAAAAGGAGGGAAGATCCCCCATGAATACCTCCTACCACAAGACTAACACAACAAGACACTGCTTAACACTTAGATCAAACACTATACTATATCAAGGACACTGAGACTCACCAATACACAATCAAAATTTATGGCCTGATATATGATTAATCTGGCAACTTAATCACTTTTGGGCTGGCAGAATATGGGGGAGAATGAGGGGGGAGAATGAGGGGGGAGAATGAGGGGGGGAAATGAGGGGGAAATGAGGGGGAGAATGAGGGGGAGAATGAGGGGGAGAATGAGGTGGGGAATGAGGTGGGGAATGAGGGGGGGAATGAGGGGGGGAATGAGGGGGGAATGAGGGGGGGATATAGAGGGAAATGAG